TGTTTTTTGATTAAAATACATGATAAACCCCATTACTAATCTTTTTAAATAAAAGCGTTTTTTAAAGCAAAAGCTTCGAAAATAACTCGTTAATTTTAAATTTAATTCAGACACGCTTACACATTTATTCAAATGCAATAAAAATAAATAGTTTATCAAGTTAATAAGTGTTAACGTTCGTAACTATATATATATATATCTTTCAACATATGATAATTAACTTATTTAATAACAAGCTTAATTATTTTATAAATTACCAATATCATAAAAACATTGCTAAGTCGCTTCACTGGTTAAATACGTTTAAGTTAAAACTATCCGATTAGTAGTGGAAATTTCGGTAACTTTTCGCAGACCGTTAACGTAAAAACCTGAATAACATCGTGCTTAACCAAGTTTTTAAATAGCTTAAAACAATAATTAACATTAACTTAGAAACAAAAGCTTTAAGAAGTCTTCATATTACGGATTTATTATTAAAGGTTTTAATATTAGGTTAACAAAAATAAGATCTTAATAACCTTTAATACATTGTCAACAACTTTGGAAATTCGCCTTAATTATTTTAAACTTATTATAACGAATATTTAAAAGCTATTAAACCTTTATTACGATTTACATGATAGTTATAAATAGTTTAAAACGATAAGTTTGATTAACTTCATTTGATAAACAGAAAGTTTATAAAAGTTATAAGGCTTAATATGCGACGCTGCGTTTAAATTACTGCTTTAAACTTATTATATTATTAATAAAAACCTAAAAAATTCGATCACGTTTTTTTCTTCAAAAAGCGATCTATCTATTAGAATCTTTAAAAAGTTATAGTAAATGATATTCAAATTAATGATTTCTTTTATTTTTATAGCCCTATGTATCTCTAAGTGGATAGCGTTTTCTATAAACTTTTAATCTTGTTAAATTTAAGTAGAAATTTGAAATAACAACCTTGTAATTTAATTCGAGGTACATGGCTTTTTAAATTATGTTTAGGTTTTAATTAACAGTAATTTCTGACTATGTTTCAATATATACAAATATTATTAATTAAATTTTTTATATAATATATCGTTAGTATTCAACTTATTTCAATATTTTAACAAGCCTTATATTAAAAATGGCCGAGTATATAGGCTCCGGCTTATTTTAACAACTTATATAACGAAAAACTAGGCCTTATATAATAGTTGCTTACCGGCTCGCGTTATCAAAAAATGTATTTAAATAGTCTAAGACTAATTAATTAGTAAAACATACGTTTTATTCCTCTTTTCAATTATTTTTAATGCGCGTTAAAAAGACCCGGGGTTTACTTAAGCTCAAAGCAAGCTTTCATACATCGTGGGTATTATAATAATAATTATACGTATTATTATTAGTATTACCTTTAAAATTTTAATATTACGTAACTCGTACGTAACTACACGGACGACAGTTTATTATGGGACTATGAAAGACCCGAATTATAAAGCGAGTGTATATATTTATCTACTTACTAAATTTAACTATACAGCTCGATTCTCTTTTCTGTTTTCAATGAAACATCGTTATACGTATATGATTAATACGAAGCTTTTGTGTCCTTACCGTATAAATAAAACGTAATAATAGAATTATAATAAAAAAACTTGATATAATATAGTTTTCAATATTGATCTTTATAAAAGGGTTTTATAACTTTCGATTATAGGCTATTATAAGCATCTCTATAAGTATATAAATATAAAACGCTTATAATAATCACCGCACTTAAAAAACATGCTCGGTAAAAAAAATTAAATGTTAAATTTACTATCTCATAAAATATAATTGCTTTTATAGTTATTAAATCAAAAGATTTATACTACGGGATATAACAGGCGAATTTTTAAATTTTTCTTAAGATTTGAATAATCTCAGAAACGACCTGTTAAATATTGGTAAAAACCCGAATATCATTTTTAACGTAATATACGAAGACATTCTTAAAAGCCCTAAAATTATTTCAACACATAGAAAACTGGGACCGTTATAAATTAACTTTAAAACATCTAAGTACAGTTAAATAAAATTTCAACGAGAGTAATATAAGAACACTTAAAATAGAGCTTATATAAATGATAATAAAACCAATTTATTATATTTAAGCCGTATTTAACCTTCAAGCTTACTTTTTCGCATATCATATCAATATTTATCATAATTATGAAAAAGCCTATAAAAAGCTAAGTTAAAACATTATACTTTTAATAGCTAAAAAAGGTCAAATGATTACTCGTTACTTTAAGCTAAAGACGTTTAAGCTATATAAAATCGCCTACAGAATCAAAAAGCAACATTTAACTTTAAACGTATTATCAATTTTATTAATACGATGAAAAACAAACAACGAAATAAAGTTAAATATAACAAATACGAAACCTGTAACGTTATTTCCATAAAAAATAACGTTATATAAAAACTAAGGTAACCTTGCTATAATATTTGTAAAAAAAGATCAGCAATTCTTACTTTCTAGCTGCCAAATTAACAAACAATTGAAGGCTACACTTATAAATTTAATTAACAATAAATAAGACTAAATATATTAAAAGATAAATGATGTAATAATATAAATATTTATTAAAAATTTGATAATGGATACATACTACATTTTATATCGTATATAAATATGTAAATATAAACTAAATAAGCATAGCTTTTTATTTAAATACAACGTACGTTTTATAACTTATTATAACTGATAATATAAGGTATTTATAAATATACCTCCGGGTTAATTCTTAAAACTAGATTTTTTAAAGTTTTCATAGTTATTATAACTCGTTTTGATTATAAACCTATTTAATATGATACTACTAACGCTATTATTAACGCTAACTTGAAAAAAATATTGGAACAAAAATATTGCAATAATATGAAATTTTACTTTGGAAAATACTATTAAAAAAGGACTTTACGGTTTACGCTAATCTTTTTTCAATAATAAAAGCACTTTATTATTATGTTAACACCTTTTAATTTTGACAAATCCCTTATAAGTGCTATTATCTTATAAAAAACTAGATAATTAACTTTCTTGTCCTTCTTATATTATAATGATTTTTAAACGTCATTAGCACCACGCTGCTAAAAGCAAGAAAGGAAAACTTAACATTACGTATCCCCTAAATTTTTTTTCCACTTATAACAGTTTTTAAAATATAAAGTTTAAAACGTTTTAAATTAAGCGCTTTATTCATTTATCTTACGTTTTATATATTAATGAAAATAATAATTATATCGATTTGAATAAGAAATGTCCGGTAATATTGATAAAGCCTTCTAAATTCTTTTGAAATAATAAGCTCGCGTCATTAGCCTCGATTAATAGATATTTAAAAGATCGGCTTAATTTTACAGGTAGTAAGAATTAATCTCTTTAATATTTCGTTTATAACAGTTTAATTTGCACGCTTTAATTTCGACTTAAACAACTTTTCCTGTTACCGTAACAAACTATATGCTTAAATACTTTTAGAAATATTCTTATACATTTTAATTAAAGCATAAAAATGTCCAGGAAACACAAAACAATATATCGTTTATCAATGATACATTGAATAGAAAAGTTTGTAAGCTTACGTAATGATGTTATTCCAGGGCATCCTTATTTAAGAACCAAATTCTTTTTACAGTAGTCTTAATAATTAAAGTAGAATTATAATCTGCTAATTAACCAATTATGAAAATATTTTTCAGTTCGCGCTTTTTCAAAGGAACTAAAGGATTTATACACTTTTCGTTTCTTGCCTCAAATATAGTAGCTATTAAGTTCCTAAATTACTACCCACAGAACTTTAAACGCTTTGGCTTAAGATTAAATCTTTTTCCAAAAAGATGAATAAAAATAAATAAACGTTAAATACATACGGAACATATTAGTATTTATAATCAGCCTTATTAAAACATTACTAGCCTTGAAATTTGACAATTTGAAAATAAATGAAGCTAATTGATATTTACGAATGACTCATAATATATAAGTTTACAAAATTGATAACGTTTTTATGAAAATGTTTCTTATAAAATTTAATAACTAATTATAGCTCTTAAAACAGATTTATCTGTATATAACCTTGTTATATTTTTTTGGAAATAGGTTTTCTTTAGATCGTTATATACGCAGTTTTTTAAAATTAATATTACATCGTGATTATCTTCAAAGTCGTGTCATACATTTTAGAATATATATATATCGCTGTTTATTTAATATATGGTAGTATCTTTTTAAGACTTAATGACTTTTTTATCTTATTATTCTTAAGTTTTAAGCGAGTTATAATGTTTTATGTACAATGTTTTACTAAAGCTCTAAATATTAATAATGTTTTTTAATCGAGGTAGTCATACTTCTTGTATGTTTTCACGTCAAGTTTATAAACGATACCGATAATTAAAGCAATTAATTTAAAAACGTCCACCGGGCCTGTTTTTAGAAGCGAGATAAAACTACTTTTTGGAGCATTAAAAGTAATATCGAGTTTTTTGTTACAAATAGCCTTGCTCTGGTACAAGCCGCCTGGCCATTAGTTAATATTATAAATTTAAAGATTTTAAAACGGTCGACGAACGTGTTATTAGTTTTGTTTAAAAGATTTTGTATCTGTACCTCTAAATTAACTTTGATACAAAGCCGTATAAAGTACTTGGGTATTTCAATGCAACATGTTAAAAGTTTTTAATAATTTATTGCTTTAAAATACAATTACGTAACTTTTTATTTATTAATTCATGCATTTACTTATATTCAGAAAGAGTATTTCAATTAAAGACTAAATAATCGATTTATGTGTAACTTAAGATAGTTCATCCGTACGTTAAGCAATGTTTTGTTAAAATCGACGACTAAATTAGAATCAAAGCTTAATAATACGTATAATAAAATTAAACTAAAATAATTTGAAGTTATAAATGTTTTTAAATAAATAACATGATAAAAACGTGCAAGATTTCGCCTCACGCTTAGATGAGGAAGCAATCTACCATATAGCACCCTGCTTGATATGCAGAAAGCTTGGCATGTCATTCTCAACCTCGAGTGCGTCTAGATGTGCGGGGGACCTTCCCCAGCCACTGGCCCCTTTCATTACCGCCAGCAAGCTTTCTCCCACGGCAGGCCTACTCCACATGACTTGCAGCCGTCCGACACCTCCTCAAGTTAACCCACGATATATAAGACTATTTTAAATAAAGTTTGGAAATAAACAGTTTAGAATCGCGTTTACAAAACGCTTTCTTTTCTTCACTGTACAATATATAAGATATTAAACGCAAATATATACTTTAAAGAAAATATCGATATTTCAAAAGCTGGTAGCTTATATAAAAAGCTTTAATATAATTATCATAATTGTTCAAATTACTGCCGAATAAGCTATTATAAAGACGCATAATTCTATTTACTTTAAGTCTCGTTATAAAATATTTATTATAAATTAAAACGAGGTCATTTAAAAACTGTTATTGGCTATATAAGCGTAAAGTGTTAAAAATAAAACGATAAATACGGCGACAGTTACTTATATTAAAATAAGCTTTTTTAAGGTAATAAAGCTAACAGCTGTTACGACCGTAATTGGTTTTTTAGCCGAAAGATCGTGAAATTCAAAACAATTGTTACGATTACAAAAAGTACCATCATCGTAACGACCGTATGAATTATGATAACTACGATAAAACCCGCGGAGGCGTAATAATCGTCATAGTCGTAACTAGTATTACGATCATAATTGAAACCATTATTTAATATACATTAAAAGGCCCATTATCATTAATATCAAAAAGAATCTTGTAATACGAAAACAGGGGAAACCGTAATTATAACTATTTTGAAATATTGATATAATAATGAGCTATATATCATTAAATACGTGAATTCGAATGTTTTTAACAGGTTAAAAAAATCAATACTTCGTTTATGAGTCTTATGAAAGAGAATTACAATTTTAATTATTATTAAGGTACGAAGCTAAGTTGTGAGTATTATTTTAAACTTTTTAGTACCGAGAAAGAAATGATATTGTGTATTAGTTTTTAAATTAAAAGGACTAAGGATTGAATAAGGTGTTACGTTTTAAAAATAAACCGAGAAGTAATTAATATTATAAGTATCAAACTTAAGAATGGATTTTATACATTTTTAACATATTTTATGTTTAAGTTTTTTTTTACGAAGTCAAGACAAAAGAAAAAAAGATTAATATTTAATTAATTATAAAGGTTTTGATTTTCGTTGCCGGCTGTTCGTTTATTAGTAAATATTATTTATTACGATATTTATATTAATTAATATTCAGAAAAGAGTTTGAAAGGCTTTGATGAAACTTTAGTTAAAATATTGAAATAAGTCGAAGTTAAGTTTATTTTATTAGGAAAAAAAGATGATAAAAACTTTATTATCGAATTTAGTTTCAGGGTATAGATTATTAACAATTTTTCTCGCTTTAGCTTTTTTCGGCTTAGATTTTATGTATAAATACGATATTAATTGTTTAAGAACAAAAAGTAGATCTTGGTGAATCTAACCGACGGTAATCTAATAATTATTATATTATACATAAAGGGACGTATATTAGCAGTACATATAAAATTAAATAAAAACATTTAATTTTTCCAAAAAGTCGTGTTTTTATTCCGGTTCACTTTGTTATAAAAGATTTAACTATACTATATTATTTTCTTTCCGTAGTTATAAAACTTCAAGCCAGTATTATCAAATATAGCAATAAGATCCATTAGTTTATACATAATTAGCTCGATGCGGTATAGTTGCGTTAAAATTAAACGTTTAAATTATTAACGGTAATAAGACCAAAAGATATCATACATTATATCTGCTATTTTAACAAGTATAAACATATATCAAGTTAATTTCATAATTTTCTTAAAGAACTAATCGTTCGAACGGCGGATAGGTAGGGCTCAATACGTCGAGTTACGGTATACTTACGGTTTAAGTATCTCTTACTTCATAATATTATTGATTATTAAATACATAGAAAAGTATTAAAACTTATTTAATAAAATTTTATAATGAGTTTTGTTATAGCTAAAACAGAAATCATAATAGTTTAATAGCGCTTATTTATTATTCGAGGTTTAAAAAAAACTTTATATCGCCCTTTCAATTATTTTCAAAAAGCCTTATGCTTTTGAAAAACGTATTTATATCATATTGTAAGCTATTTTAAAGCGATTGTTTCCTTTTAAAATAAACCTTGTATTGTATTTTTTGGTATTTAAAAAGCAATTTTAATATTAATAGAACCGCTTTATATCGTGTGCTTTATATATTCAACGCTATTTTATACCTTGTTAAGCTAGTTCTTACGGCTTACGGATTATTTTGTTTCTTATTTCATTTACTTTTTATCCCTTTAAAGCAGGTTTACGGAGTTTTAATCGGGTTTTCAAGACGTTTGAAAGGAACGAGCGTGTTTCAAACGTTATTTAATTTATTTTATAGTTATAAATATGGTTAAGCTTTTATTTATTCATATTTACACCTTTATATGTCTTAAGCTATAACCAGGTTTAATTAAAATTAAAAATAAAAAAGAAATTGTTTTTTATTATGAACGATAACGATATTATTACATTATTATATAACGGTCGGGAAAAAATTTCGACGAAGTTACATGTTAAAAAAAGTTAAAAGTTTATTTAACAAGGGATTTAACGAGTTTTTGAAAGTTTATATTTCGAGAAATGTTTTTTATATACTATGATGTTTAAGGAAGTATTAAGTCGATTTTCTAAACTATAAAAGGACGGCGGTATTATTAATCTATTCGAAGATAACCAAATATACGTTTAACTTATCTTAAATGGATATATGAAAGGAGATCAAGCATAGTTTTAAAAGACTTAAAAGAGAAAAGTTATTAACATAATGTTTAAGAAATTTTGTAAGATTAAAAACATTAGTTTTTAACGTAAAGTTACGCTTTTTATTTCTTTCATTTCGTTATTAAAAATTGGTAAAAAGGGAAGAAATTAACAGCGTAGTTACCAATTGATACGGCATAAATTAGTAATGTTTCGATTCTTTTTTCTCGACAAGCTAATACCGTTAATAGGTTTTGTAAAACAATGTTTGTTTTCGTGATTAATATTATAAATTCTTTGTGTTAAGTTTTAGTTAGTAAAAATTTTCAAGACGTATTTATCTTTATTAATTATAACGGCCTTGAAGTTTTAAACGTAATATTTATAACCTTTGAAACTTGTTATTTTATATTTAACGATAAATGGACGGATTTTTCAAAGTGTTTATTACGTTTATTATAACAGGGATAAACGATTTTGTAACTAGCTTTAATATAATATAGAAGTTTGTTATATATTTATATGTTTCATTGTTAAAGTTTAGTAGAATCAGGCTATGTTTTTTGCCGAAAAGATATTTTATCAGGTTTTTATATGTAACTATTAAGATTAAGAATAGACGGTTCTAAGTTGTTTAATTTAAACTATAAGTTTAACATTGTTTTTGAAATTAACGTTTTCAAGAGTATTAGCGATCTAAAGATATAGGTTAAGATGGCTAGTTGGTCTTAATAACTGGTTAAGAATTTTGTCCGTGGTACTGAATTTTTTAAATGGTCAAGGCTTGGTTTTTTAAATGAGGCCGGGATAATAAGACAACGGATGATAAATAAACACGTAAAGCGTTTGTTAAAGCTATAAATTTTTAACTTATTAAAATTAAGCTACCTGCGTATAAAAGCGTAAAATTTATGTTATTTAACGAAAAGAAGCTAACATATTTTACGTTAAACCGGCGGTTATCTTTATAACTTGATGCTTTTAAAGACAGTTTTCAAAGCGTGTTACTTCATATGCGTGATTCATACCCATAAGTCTTTTCCCCTAATTACTGTCATAAAACCTATTTTATATTTTAAGAAACATATTCAATCCGTGGAAAACTTTTCCTAGCCAATTAAGTTAAATTGGCATGTTTAATATAAAAAAGAAAAAAACTTTATACTCAAATTACTTTTATTAGCTGTTTTTTATAGTTTTTAACTAATTATATTTTAATAATGAAACTTATAAGATAATCGAATTTGGAGACGTAAAACGTTATTAAGGCTAATCATTAGCTTTACACCGCTTCTATTTTATCTTCTTAATTTAGATTTTATATCATCCATATTGTAAAGAAGATCAATATATTGTCCGACGTAAACAATTCTTTTATAACCAATTTAACTTTGAATTTCCGGAAGGCAGCATTTTGTACGATATTTTTATTTCTAAAAAAATTCAAGCTTAACCGGTAATTTAAAGTATAAATACGAGACGGATATAAGAAGTTAGTTTACGAGCGATAGTGTGAAATCGTAATCAAAGTTTTTTTCTAAAAAGGACGACGTATCAAAAGAACGGAAAATATTTTGTTTTATCTAAATAAGAACATATGTTTAACTAAATTAATTAATATTACGAGGCGTTTTTATATACTTAAGTTATATAAAAAGAGAGTTTTGAAGTAAAAGTACACCGATAAATCTTACTGAAATATCGAAGCAACTGTAAAAAGTTTTACGCGGTATTATGTACTTTTCAAAATATATAAAGCTATAAAATAATAGAAATTTAAACAATTAATATATGTAAACGTATAGTATATTATATAGGCGTCGTATAGCAGGTTCGAACTTATTTTCGCCCTATCGATTTACATATATCTTATTACGGTCGCTATTATAACGCTATATTGAAGGTATTATCAATAAATACCTTCTAAGCTTATACCGTAGATGACAAGCGAGCTGCGAGGTGGAGCTTCCATACAAAAAACGTCAGTGCGCTAATTTTTAACTTGACGAAAAAAAATCGGAAACATCTCGGACCTTTTTTTTAGGTTTACAACTTGAAAAATACATCAATATTACTTTTTCTAGGTTTATAGCTATTTTATTTCAATACTTATTTCAAAATACGCTAAAACTACCCTTGTAAAAAAGGCTTTTTAGGATCCACAGGCTATTAAATCAGTGAAAAATAATTGCTATCTATCATTGTTACCTATAGAAAAGGCTTCATTAAATGCAGCAGGCCCGGGATTTTACCGATTTTTTTCCAAAAGGTAGACGCACGGTTACGCACCGACTTTTTATGT